AGTCTTTCCCACTTGTAGGGGGACCAAGCCCTGCAGAAATCTGTCCAACCTGGGAGCCTAACCAGGTTGTGAGATTAATAGTCCCAATCAGTATTAAGTAAAAGGGCAAGACTGTATGTTCTCTGTGGAAGATTGACACTTGGATAGATGCATAGTTATAAGCAAGGGACCCAGTTTTAATACCTTTAATCTCATATGTTCTTTTAATTTTATATATTTAGAGTGGAAATAATACTGTTTATTCTGCAAATTAAATGAGAGGTTCCCTTTGGGCACACATAAGGAGTATGCTATGGTCCTAATGTGTAAGAAAGGATTTAAAACAGTATTAAGAAAGAAAAAACCCAAGCACGGAGTCACCAATCCTAGTGGCTTGGTAGACTGAGGCAAGAGGTCATAAATTCAAAGCCAGCCTCAGCAATGGTGAGGCGCTTAGCACTTGATGAGGCCCTGTCTCTAAATAAAATACAAAATAGGGCTGGGGATGTGGCTCAGTGGTCAAGCGCCCCTGGGTTCAATCCCTAGCACCTCCTCCCCCACCCCCCCACCCCACCCCCCCCACCCCAAAAAAAGAAAGAAAGGATAAAACGTAACATATCCATAGCATAGTTGTTGGTCCTTTTAGTGTAGGAGTAGTGTCAAATAGTTGCCACTTGCCCAGTATGAAGCCTAGAAACATCTTCATGTTCTCCTTTAGCATTTTGCAACTTGTTAAATTAATACCTTGGCAACAAGAATAGCTTTTTTTTTTTTTTTTCAAGAAATCCATCTCTAAGAAAACACACACTTGGAAGCTATCAAAGACAATAAGCTTGCCTAGCTGGAGTGAGTCCATTGGCAGAGTTGGCATGGATCAGCCTTAATCCTTTCTCAGGGCACTGAAGCAAAGTACACAAGAAAGTACCTGTCAGGGGTTCCCAAGTGAATTCCATTCTGCCTGACCATCCATAGAAGACCATAACTACTTCCCCTGTCATCTGTTTTGTAGGAGGCCCTGAAAAAACAATTTAGAAGATCTCAAACTTTGGAATATTTGTACAATATTCCAAAGCACAGGTCCAGATAAAAACTCTGAAAATATTTCAGATTCACTGAGATGCTTCACAACACCCCTCCCTAAGCCTCTTTCTTTGTCACCTCCAAGATTTGAAACTTGCTGCTAAGCCACCACAGCAACCTCCTTCCCTGATATCACATTCACATTATCAAACTCAACACATCTTCTCTAGAACTTTCTTCTGTCCATTGCACCATTTTATCCAAAACTCTTAGGTACACTAAAATTTCCTTCCAGCTTGGATTGTGCTTGGCAATTCCAGTGCCAGCCCTACCCCTACCAAGCCTGCTGGGTTGGATCTATCCTGACTCTCCACACCACCCTCACCTAGTCCACTCTATCCCACTGTCTTCTTCACTCGCAGAAAGCCAAAATATAAATACTGCCATTCTACACCACTTTTTTGGTCTTTAATCAAATATTGTAGAATTTTGACATGTCTCTTAGAGTTTACAATATTTTTAATAATAAAAGAGGTAATTGAGGGCATATTTTATGCTCCTTCTGCCTCTTTATTCCTTCCCTTTCACTACTTCTGAGATAAGTATTAACTGGAGAGTTACCAAAATGATCTGGAAAGAATGAACTAGATGTACTTAGATTATGGAACCTGCCCTCTCAATGGGGAAGAATTGGAGTCCTAATCCACCAGTCTAACTGTGATGTCCAATTTTAAGTGTTAAGCATTGAAAATAAGGACAGATATGAAAATACCAATCCCTTCGTGAGAGTCAGATCAAATGCAATCATGGATAGAAAAGTGCTTTGCCAACTCTAAACTATTTTTAAAGCAATCAATCATGTTAACAATCATTATAATGATTCTTTTCAAAGAGATGTAGCCAAGACTTCAATGAATGGAAAAGTCTGTAATCTACACTTCCTGCTGCTTCTCCTACATCCTACCCCTAAAGCCTGACACTTAACTGCCTTCTACCAAATCCAAATCTACTTCCCCTTCCTTACCCTACATTTCCTTATGGTGGAAACTTCTCCACTAGCTGTTAATCTCATTATCAGATCATAGAAATTCACAAAATGTGTGAATGAGGATTAATTATCTGGAATATAAATTTCAAAACTTGTTAATTGAAAGGATTTTATATTGATGGAATGTTGCATAGAGAGAAAAAGGAAATTGATTTTTTAAATTTCAGGTTTATCTTTCATAGTCTAAATGAACATATGGTAGAGTCAGCAAAAATGATACAAAATGTACAAAGTGTTCATAGGTGCATTATTCATAATAGTGTAACCAAATGTGATGGGTTTGCTTTTTGTGAGTACTGCTGCAGTCTAGCTGGGCACAAAATCACGAGCCACTCAAGCAGGAACAAACTTTATTTCTGAAACTCCCGCCAATGCCACGCACTCTCCCGGGAAATATGCCGAACCACACATGTGGCGTTCTCCCGGGCCACACTACCCCAACAGACAAATCCCTCCTCCGGAAATCCCTCCTACCGTACTTCCCCAACCAATGGGAACTCTCCGGGAATCCCGCTAGAGCTCCAAAGTAGCAGGCCTAGGCGGACAGCAGGGGTCTAATATCCATTTGAATGCAGATCTTAACATAATCATATCATCTCAATGGCTTGCTGGTGTTACCTTTCAACCAAAAATGCCATGCATCATTCCTACTTGGCTATGGCTCCTAGCAGAGTACAAAGCCAAAAAGCACACCAGGAGGTAAGAGAGTGGAGATAGTTTATTGCCTGCATCAAGTAAGAAAAGCACTGGGGTTATCTGCAAAGCAGTGCTCTCCCCAAACAAAGGAAGCATGAGGATTTTGTTTGGGGAATCTACACATATTCATATAGGAAAGTACATGTGGTGGGGGACAACAATTCTGGGCATGCTCAGTTCAAGGTCCTACAGCACATGTTTAAGAAGGAAAAATTACTGGACAGGAATGTTTCTGAGTATGCTTAGCTTAGTATAGACTGAGCCAAGTTTAATCTAGGTTGCCTAAAAGAGTGAGTCAGTGTGACTGGGTGACCTTGGCTGGTTCTTCCTAAGTTTTTCCAAGAGTTTTTGCTGCAACAAAAACAACTTTGAAGGGTCATTAACAGTCTTTTAAAGAAGTGGCAGTTTTCTCCTTTGTAAATGTAAAAGTGCCTGCCTTGCTTATTAGCTAACAATAGCCCCCAAACCAGAAACAATCTGAATGTCTATCAGCATTAGAATGGACATTATGTGATCTACTCAGATAATGGAACACTACAAAGCAAAGGGAATGAAAGAACAGAATTTTATGTAACCATATACATTAATGATAGCCAGACACAAAAGAGAACACACTATGAATCCATGATGCTGCAAGGCAGGATAGTGTTTAAAAAAGGAAGGTGGTTAGAGTGACAAGGAAAGAGCCACAAAAGCACTTTGGGATGGCAATAGGTTCTATTCCTTGATTTGGGTCTTAGGTACATGGTATGTTGATTTTTGTGGAAATGCATTAATCTTTAAACTTCTATACTTTTCTGCATGCATGTTATACTTAAAAAGTTTACTAAAATTAGTAACATATTTATGGTAGAAAACAATAGGTATTTCTTAGAATATAAGAAATACTTAGTGTTAAAGAATTATTTTCAAAATAAGGGAAAATTATTACTACAGAGAAATATAAAATGAAAACATCGAATTTTTTATTTAAGACATTAATTAATGAGGGAATCACTAATATGCTAAAATCAATGGGAATTTGATTTATGAAGATTTATATTATCTACTAGACAAAATTAATTTGTGTTGGCATCACAGAAACAGAAATCATAGCTATGGACAGGAAGCATTTGCATTATTATCAATTTTCTATATATTAATCTTTTCTCTATGAAGTTGCAACATAGTCTAATCAAGGACTAGTTAAAGACATTGAAAGCAGGGCACAACCAGAGGAATGTTAGTCAGAACATGCACTAAATTTCAAAAACTTTTTTTTTTCAGTGCTGGAAATGAAACCCAGCCTGGCATATGCCTGCAAGAACCCTACCACTGAGCTACAATCCCAACCCCTCAAAGATATAAATTTTATACAATAGAGTAAAATTTAAACAACTATAATTCTATTCAGGGATACCTATACATACACAATTTTGTGGCATATTTTTAAATATTATGTAATAATTGGCTTATATCTGTATCAAAACTTAATTAAACTTTAAAAATTTAACTGCTTTTATGCTGAATAGTGATATTTTCTTTGTTTCAAAAAGTTTCTGTTCACATTTCTGGTTATTTCCTTAACATACTTTTAGAAGGAAAATTACTAAATCAAAACACAATGATTTTTAAGATTTGTAGTACTTATTGCCAAATATTTTAGGAATACTTTGGAGCACACAGTTGGGTTGGAGGTTAGGAGGAAGGAAAACAAGCTGCTTGCCTACTTCAGGAATTATTCCCACCCATAAAACTTCCGCAAGTAGAATTAATGTATACATTCTTGCAACTATCCACCATCTGTCTTCTTCTCTTCTTTTGCTTTGGACTTCGAGCAAAAATCCAGTCCATGTGTGAGGGAAAAGCGTGGGTTAGCACAGCAAACCACAAAAATCTCAAATTCAAACCAAATCCAAGGGTACAAGAGGTCTCTCTGCACTGATGGTTTCAATCTATTAGGTTATAAGTCCCTTAAGGAATTTTCCAGAATCTAACTCAAGATTCACTTGCTCTATAGGATTTCCTATGATTATACATATTTTCTGATCTGTTTTGCCAGTCTTGATTTAAAGTATTCTATAAGCCACATATATTTTACTATGATACCTGACTTATTCAGTTATTCAATAGTATTTATCAATTTCCTACTAAGTGCCAGGTGCTGTGGTATAGTAGGCCTGAGGTAAATTGTGCACAAAACAATCTTATTCCTGTCCTGTGGGTTCAGAAAGTATGGTTTTCATATAATACAGTACATAAAATATACCCATACACATGGAATGAACATCATATATTTTAATGTCAGGCTGTTAATTAATTGGTTGTATCGGTTGACAGTTCTTAGTAGGTAGGTCTCTTCCCAAGTAGATAAGATGATCCTTGAAGGCAGGAGATTGAAGGCAGTCTTCAATTCTCTGGCATCCTCCAACGCGCTGAGTGCTTAATAGGCACCCAATAGAAAGCAACCCAGTTGAAACATTGGTGCCTCCCTCATATGCACATGATTCAAGCCTTCCTTGTAGCTCCTCAGTTACTCTTAGAATCTCTGTGAGAATAAGTAACAAATGATTGTGAAACATGAAATGACATGTCTGTGATAAGGTTACATTTTATATCATCACCAATAGGTGGCACCATCATTTTTCAATTATATTTTATATTGTTATAGCCCCAAATTATAAGTATTTATGGTGTTCATTCATTAGATGTTTATTGGACTCCTTTTGTGCGGAAGTTGCTCAACTGACTGCCACTAACGGAATTAAAATAAAATGTCTTAAAGGCCTTGTATTTCCACTTTCAGGTTAATCCTTATTTTAAAAAACAACAACTAAACCTCGATTTATGATTCAAAAACAATTTCACAATTGTGTGTATATGTCCTCACACATGCCAATGCAGCCTAAAATCTGATTTTAAAAGGGAGAGAAATGTGATGGCACACACCTATAATTCCAGCAACTCAAGAGCCTGAGGAAGAGGATCACAAGTTCAAGGCTAGCCTAAACAATTTAGAAAGACTCTGTCTCAAAATAAAATGAAAATGGTTGGGGATATAGCTTAATGGTAGAATACCCCTGAGTTCAATTCCCAATACTAGGGGGAGGGAAAGGTGAATCAGGTGGGGAGGATACAAAATTAAATAAAAAGCACATCATAAAAATCTAGATTTTGGAGGGTCTATTGGTGGAATTTAATCTAAGTTGGTTTAAATTAGTTAACACAAAATTTACTATTTCTCAATGAAAGAAACTTTGTTCCCTTTGGGAAGATAACAGAAGTTTGATCCAGGCAGAGCAGAAATATTTCAACAGCTTCCAAGCCTGTACAATCCCATCTGGAGATAATAAAAAGTCCTGTTCCTCTGTGTTTATTTCAAGAAGTTCATTCCCTGGAACAAGCTGAGGTTACAAATGTAGAGTACTTGCTAGCTGAAGAGGGATGCCACTTGAGTGTTACTCAGGAAGTCTACACTGCCCTAGAAAACTCCTGAGATTTCTTAGACTAGGAAGAGGGAGGCCCCTTTGCCCTTCCTTGGAACATACCCTTTTCCACAGGCTGAGAGCATGAGGGCAAAAAGAGATGGAGAGTGGTGGGGCAATGGAGCTATAGTATTTGCAGCAAATACCATATAAAAGACACTAATTTACTCAGTAAGGAGAAAAAAAAGAATTTTTAATGAACTCTCTTCTTTTTCTCAGAACTTTAAAGTGACCTGGGTGTGGTGGCACATACCTATAATCCCAACATCTGGGGAGACTGAGGCAGCAGGATCACAAGTTGAAGGCCTGCCTTGGCAACAGAGCAAGACTCTCACAATAAAAAGAAGGGATGCTGGGGATGTAATTCCATGATAAAAAGCCCCTGGGTTCAGTTCCCAGTGCCACAAAACCTACAAACAAAAACTTCTTTAAAGTATAATGGATGGCATTAGGAATCAGGGTTATTACCATCCAGGAGCTTCCTGTCTAATAAACCAAAATAGTGTCTCATGTAGTAGTAGTTAGAAGTCTGAACTCTGGAGTCTGACTGCATCTGTATCATTTGAACCCACTTACTTACCCTTGGATAAGGATGAACTCTCCGTGCCTCAGTTTCCTAACTTGCAAATTGAGGATAATAGTACAACTCATAAAATCAACAGGAGAATTAAACAAGATTGCATTAAGATTTGAACAAAGGAGAGCTGGGGGTGTAGCTCAGTGGTAGAGCTCTTGCCTGCCACACACAAGTCTCTGCATTTGATCCCCACCATCAGAAAGAGAAAGGGAAAAAATGGTATTTATTATCACTCATACAAATGACTTCATACATAGATGAATGTTAGGTTCATAAAAAGGAGGTTTGAAAAAGAGCTATGAGAACTCAGAGACTAGAGAAGTAACTTCTAGTTAGGTGGGCAGGACAGAACAGTCATTCATGGCTTTATGAAAGTGACATTGGAACTGAGCTTTGAAGAATGAGAATGATTAGGAAATTCAGGAATAGAGTAAAGGAGCCTACTCTAGGAAGATGGACTCTAAACTTAGGTGGCAAGGAAGGAAGCCAAAAGGAGTGGAGCGTTTGGAGCTCAATAAGAAGTTGAGCCTAACTGCTATGAAGGCTACATGGGAGGAAAAGAGAAAACATTTTGGTTGTAAAGAAGGGTTGGGATTATGAGCAAGGCATTATTGGACAATAGGGTTGGACTTTTTACTTTGGGCTGTAGGAAGCCACTGGAGCTTTCTGAGCGGGGAAGTGGCCTGAGCACCACCATACTGTCAGAACTGCATTGGTGGCCATGTGTTACATTCCTCAAGATGTACAAAATATGTAGAATCTCTAGGGGGAGAAACTTGAGTCCATTTGCAGGCATGTTGAGTTTAAAGTAGGGAGGCAACCAATAGTGACATCCCAGAGGCAGCTAGAAATGGGGACCTTGAAAGAAAAGCTCAAGGCCAAGATGATTTGCAGATGCCCTGCAAAATTATGCCAGTAGATAGAAAAATAGGAGTTTGAATGAAATGACCAAGAAAGAGCAGAGAAACGACAACAAGATGACCAAGGAAGTTGGGCAGGCATGCAGGTCTATAATCACAGTGACTGAGGAGGTTGAGGCAAGAGGATCGCAAGTTCAAGTCCCGCCTCAGCAACTTAGATTCTCTGTCTCAAAATAAAATTTTTAAAAGGACTGAGGCTGGGGCTGGGGATGTGGCTCAAGCGGTAGCACGCTCGCCTGGCATGCGTGCGGCCTGGGTTCGATCCTCAGCACCACATACAAAGATGTTGTGTCTGCCGAGAATTAAAAAAAAAAAAAAAGGACTGAGGCTGTAGCTCAGTAGTAAAGTGCCCATGGGTTCAATCTCTAGTACTATAAAAAAATGACCAAAGATGATATTGGGATATAACTTTAGGGAAAAGGAGAAGGAAATGGAGTTAGAGGGAAGACTTGGAAGAGCAGAAATGCAGAACAAAGAGACAACTTAAAGAAAGAAGAGAAAGTCATCAATTTTAAATGAGAGGATGAGAACAAAGAATGAGGGGGAATTATTAGATTTGGTATCTAAACGGCCATTGATGATCATTCAAAGAGCAATTTTAGTGGAGCGAGTCAACAAGAGGCTGGTTGAAACAAGCTAAAAAGAGAGGTAAGTAGTCAGGCAAGCCTGAATTCAAACTCCTTTCCCTGTGTATTAATCTCTGACAAGAGATATGCATGAAGGGAAATGTGACCTACCTTTACACTCCTCTGCAAAACATGTGAATTCCCTAACTCCCCCTAATGATTTTAGAAATTCAGAACAAATTTTAAATGAAGTAAAGCAATGAGGAGGCCCAGCTTTTATTTTAACCGCAAGCCCTTCTCACCCCACTAGTTAGAAATCTTTATGATACTTAGTTCAGTGTGATGGAAAATTGCTCAGGCTCAGAGAGCAGTGAATTGTAGTTGGAGACATTGCAGTATAACCAGTTCATCTAATTTCACTATCATCTGGACAGCCACAGACTGCAGCCGGAAATTAGATGGTGTGTTATATCCCGAATTGGGATTAGCAAGACTGGCTGGGCAGGGGCATTGGAACCAGGGGTACTGGTCAAAACCTTGCTCAGTGACTCATTTATGGTTTGGATGTGGTTTGTCCTCCAAGAGTTCATGTATAGGAAGCTTGGTCCTCAGTGTGGGGTGGGGGTGTTGAGGTGGTAAACCTTTAAGAAGTAGAGCTTAGTAAGAGATCATTATGGGCCATTCCTTGCTCTCTGGCTCCTTTTTCTAGTGGTGTGATTTCTTCTTGCTTGAAGTCCTGCCATTGTGACAACCACAACCATAAGGTGATGCAAATAAGGGGGCCAGAACTAGTGTCATTTTGTTTGGACTTTCAGCTTCTAAAACATAAGCTAAATAAACCTCTTCTCTTTATGAGCACCCAGTCTCAGGTATTTCTTTATAGTAACAGAAAATGGACTAATACAGTCTCCCTATGGAGTCTAGGCTCAGAAAGGACTGTATAGTTTTGTATTTACTTCCCGGACTGCCATATAGTACTACAAATTGGGTGGCTTAAAAGAACAGAAATTTGTATTCTTATAGTTCTAGAAGCTAGAGGTCTAAAATCAAGGTGTTGGTAGGGTTGTTTCTTCCTGAAGTCTCTGAGGGTAAATCTGTTGTCTCGCCCTCTCCTAGCTTCTAGTGATAGGTGGCTATCATTGGTGTTCCTTGGTCATTGATTTATCACTCCTTCTTTACATCATTTTCTCCTTATGTCTCTGTGTCTTCACATGGTCTTCTTATATGGACACAGTCATGTTTGGCCCATCCTACTCCAGTATGACTTGATCTTAGTTAATTACATCCAAGTGGATATTATTTCACAATAAGGTCATATTCCAAGGTCCTGAGGACTAGGACTTCCAGGGGTGGAGCACAATTCAACCTATATCAGGCCTGATAATAGAAAAGAATAGAGGGAGAGGAGGAAGAATGGGGGCTGGTGAAAGTGGCAGGAAGTTCAGAGAGGAATTTCTGAACACTGGGGAAACTGCTTTTGACCTCAAATGGATCTGAGTTTGGGATGACTATATTAGTTCATAAATTAAATTATGCCTCTAACTTGAGACCATCTTGGGAATTGACTTGGTACTCCACTAACAGTCAGTGTAGGTGGACACAGTCCTCTGTAAAGGACTGATTAGAAGTGAGAGGCCTAAGTACTTGTCCTAAAGCTATGAGCTATGCAAAGCTCGTCATGTTTACATGGTTTGTTACTATTTGGGGTGACCTGGGGTTTGGGAAGCCGATAGAAGTTAAGGGAGCCTGACTCCCAGCCAACTCTTAAACCTCCAAGTTTCTAGCTTATCCTTTTATCATGCTGCCTTTTAAGATATATAAATATATTACTCAAACCTGTTAGTTGGAAATTGAACAAGACTACATGATCTCCAGGCTCTCAGATTCACTTTATGCCTCTATGCTCACCAACAGAATGGTCTAATATTTTGTAGTATAGTGGTTTGAGCATTTGAGGACAGCCAATAGCAGCAGCAGTCTGGTGTAAGTGAAATACACAT